GAGAATAAGATGCAAAAATAATACTGCTATTGTACTGAAATCAACAGTAAAATTAATAATTTGTATGTTGTTGTTTTATATTTTTCAAACTTAAAAGTAAAAGCAACACTTTAAATGTTTATAATTATTAAAGGGACTATATACAGGGCATAGATTAAACTATTTTACAGTTTTTCAATTTAAGTTATAGTTTGTATTGCAGAATCTTCATTAAGTATGTCTCACTAATCTAATGTACATATATTTGCGTGTGCATATAAATGCACACACAACATTCACATATGAATGGAAGTATTGTATATCAATATAAATAATAAGAAACATACGAAAAATTAAGACTGTAACTTGAATACTATTTTAAAGCTTTGATGTTTGGGTAGACAAATCTTAAAATGAGTTTCTACTTAGTAAAGAATACGTAAAGAAATTATTAAAAACTAACATCGTCGTTAGTTTAAAACAATTGTAAAAATTGTTTTAAACAACTTTAAAAAATTCTTATATATGACATGAAAAAATTTTTCCCGTTTATGCTTCAATAATTTTATACGCGTATTTGCATAATTAACATACGATCTTATTCTATTTATTCTGTTTAACATAAAATATGTATTTCCGCCTTTTATTTAATCTCAAGTTGAAAACTTTTAAAGTTTAAGCAGATGCAATATTGTATCCACATTGTGTGGAATATTTCATGAAATTCTTCTTATTTAATAGATTCAACCATGTAATGTGTGTTTATAAATACACATCCTGTTTAGTTTTAATGAATTTTTTATTTTTGAAGTATATTTCTATATATTTGCTCACACAGTCTTGTTCTGAAAAATAAAAATAAAAAATACATTTCATGCAAGAACACTTTTATTAAATAGTTTACTAAAATATTTTAATAGGTACTAACCGGGAAACGTATTTTCAATAATAAGCATATCAGCTATATGCTTTGCAACTACTTTAAAGAGTTGTCTGTCTTTAATTCTTCGCTTCTTATAGAATGGCATTAAATGTTTTACAATCCATGGAGCTATCCTTTCTTTGCATGCAGTCAAATGTTCTTCTATACAAATTGGTGAATCTGGCATCATTTCCTCATCATCAGACTCTCCAAATAGTTGAATAAATTTTTCTTTAACTCTTCCATGCTTTCTATAATTTTTTAAAGACAATTCTGTCATCTTTGCCTTTAGTTTTGATACTTGATACACGCGTTCAACAAACCAAATACTGTTCATTCTTCGTTTCTGTTTGGTTTCTACTGTTTCACTTTCTATTGGTAACGATTTATTAGCTTCTCTGTTTTTCATCTCTTTATAATAACTAAAACTGTACTTTCCTGTACTTGTATCTGATGCTTTCATATTATTGCTTTTGGTAGAATTAATTTTTGTACTATTATTACTTCCAGATATCTTAATAGAGCCATTGGAATTATGTGGAAGAAGAGCATTAATTTCTTTATCCATATTAGCTTTAGTAACACCTGAATGTTTCTCAATTAGCGTCATAAGATCACTACTATCATCACTATCGCAAAACATATCTTCCATATGCTGTAAAAGTGAATCTTGCGAATTTTCATCATCATTTTGAACATTAGATTGATTTGTAGCTAAAGTGTTAGAACTATCTTGTATGCAACTAAAAATATTGCTATCTTCTTTCATTGTTTCTTCATCAGCTAGCATTTTACTAATATCTTCATCTGATTCATTATTGAACTTATCATGTTCTGTGTCATGAAAACTAGTGGAATTTACAGTAGGTGAAGCTGTATTATTATAAACAGTTATCTGAGAAGATACATCACAATCTTCATTTTCATCATTTTCATCATTTATATCTTCTTCTTCTTCTTCTTTGTGCAGTGGGGTTTCTTTTGTGGAAGATAATTCTTCACAATTAGAAGTAATACAAATGCTTTGAATGTTATCTGCTCTTTCTAATTCTGCCCATGAATTCATTGTTTGAACTCCAGCATCTACCTTAGTTGGTGGGGTTTCTAAAAATATTACCAAATTCTTATACGCTCTTTTCTCTGATGTATGTGACTTCACATCTGAAATCTATAAGTGTCTTAATTTCAACTAGTAATCAATTTATTATATTAAATTACATCAATAAACAAACTTACTAATTTTAACATGTTTTGCCTATACAATGTTGCTTCTAAAGATGATCGCACTGCAAGTAATTCCATTTGATTTGCACACTTTTTTAATTGATCACATGGAATATCTTCAATCTTTTCTTTATAACAAAGAATGTAATTGGTAAGCAAACATTTGTGAAGATATGAGAAATACACAGCACGAACCTATAACATAAAGAAAATTATTTAGTACTTTGTGAATATATCAATGTTTAATTTATTAATTGTAAATTGTAAAAATCGTTAAACATTTGTGAATCGTTAAATATATCTAAACTTTAATATTTTGAAGTGATTATTGTGTTTTGTACAGAAAACATACCGTAGTAGTTAGTCGAAGAAATTCATCACTTGGATCGGTGGGAATATGAAATTTATTCGCCGCAAGAGAAGGTATTGATATTGACAGGAGATTGTTAATATCCTCGAGACTAGTGTTATCATCGTCGGTATCTCCTATGTCAAATTCTTCTCGCTCCCGTTTCAATGCGAATGGCAAGGATATGTCCATTTGTTCCATCGTTGTCATTTTATTTAATAGTTTGTCATCAGAATTTTACAAAACTATTTCAAATTTTTCACTGTTGAGTCTCGTAAATATTCACCGCGCACAATATCATGTTCAATGTTCCTCTGAATCAAATGTGTATTTATTGCTCCATAAAATGAATGTAACAAGTATTCGATTTAATTTTAATATTATAATAGAACAATTAAATGTCGTTATCATAATCAAACAGAAATAATGTTAATTATACATATATACACATTTGACTACAACAATAATGATCGCTAGCAACTAACTTCACGTACGTCAGACTCAAACTGTGTTGTATATACATATATACATTCAGTAAAATGATCCCCACGAAATCGATACTTTTGATTTAAAATATTGTTAATAAATTTTGCAATTTATAATTTCATCATCCATCTGATTACATAGTATTATATCAAATTCTTAAAATGTTTTAACGTTTACAAGGTAAAATTTATAAAACTTTCGAGTTCGAAAATTTTTCATTATTATACAAATTCTTGTTACATTTAATATGTATCCATAAATGATTATTAAGTAGAATTCTTTAAGAATTTGTACTTGCTTTATTATATAGTCAAACTTAATAAATGTCTATATTTTATAAAGTATGGTAAATTAAGAACTACAAGTTGTTTTAAAATTTTGTATGTATTTCATATTTTATTATTCTTTAATTTAAAAATAATATTATAGTGGTATAAAAAAATACAAAACACAAAATCGGAAATATTATTTTAATGATCTTGATTTATATTTGTACTCTTTCAATACCAATTTTTATGAGAATAACGCTGAATTTGTGTCAATATACAATGAGCTCAAAGTAGTGATAAAGTGTCTTAATTATCTCTAGTTTCTGGTTCTTCATCATATGCTGCCATTACTTTTTCCATTATCTCCCAAAGTTTATCTCTTGTTAATTCTTTGCAGAAGACCTAAAAAGAACCACAATTTTATATTTTATATTTTTAAATAGCTCGTAATTTGTGTAAATTTCAGGATTTCTTAATTCTTACATTAAACCAAGGCTGCTGATCACATTCATCCATTAATGGGACTACTACACCATAAATTTGTAGTGACAAATTAATACAAGCAATTGCTATTAAATTTGGTGGATAATCAAGTATAGCTGGGGAATGATGAAAATCTTGCAAAAGTGCCATACTAGTCTTTGCAACAGGATACTTAGACCATTCTTCTTCTCCAAACCAAGCTTGCAAAGATCGTAAATAATGTAACATGTACTGAAATAATATTTCATTATTTAGTATCAGTCTAATTTTTTATAATTTTAACAGTTTATATATATTTTACAATATTTACTTTATGGGGGTGAACAGGAGTTACTTGAAATTTTAGCATACGCATAATTAGAAGTTCTGCTTGAACAATTGCATCTCTCATACTCCAGTATTGGTCCCCTAATTCTAATGGCTGTGATCCTCTGTGTAATGTGCTATAAGATACATTCATTACATCTCTTATTTTCAAATTATCATCTTTCACTTTTCCTGCTAAGTAAAGGCATGTTGCAGCAATCAGCTAGAACAAATGCACATTTAAATAAATATCAACTATTAAAAGTGTATATTCCAAGTTTTAATTCATAATTATTTACATAATTATCATAACCTCCTGGAGCAGCTTCTTTTATAAACCTATGATATAATGTTGCAGCTGTGGCAATAGTCAATGGATGAGCTTCTAGCTTCAAACCTATTATTTTAGCAAAATTATTATTAGTTTTCAGAAATATAATTTTATTAAAACAATACTTTGTGAACAAAAGACCTACCACATTCAAATATAAATCGTGAAACTGTAAAACTGTCACTGCTTTTTGTATAATCAATTGTGATACTTTTTTGTAAAGTATTTCTCTTTTCCCGTTGCATAGCTAGTACATCAATAACATCTTTCATTTTAGAACTGTGAACATATAATATTCTCTTTTTTAGT